CCGCTGACCCCCCTTGTTCCCCCGCTGACTCCCTGTCCTCCACCCCAGAGGAGACACATGCCCAACCTGGTGTCCCCTGGCGCTGGCCTGGTTGGGAATGAGGAGGGCAGAGTAAACCCCAAGTAGCGGCCCTCGAGGTGCAGAGCGCAGGTCCGCGCAGGAGGGAAGGACACTGGGTTATAAGCACTTTTTTCCCAGAATGCTGCATTTGGGGGGAAATGAGTGTTAACACGAGTAAACAGATTTCCCATGGCTCCTTCTGTGAGCAAAAACTGGTTTTCTGGCAAACTCGGTGTATTTCAAACATTACCTAATCAGAGTTTCAGAAGGTGATGCTTCCAACCTCCAGGATCACCAAGAGGTAGTATTCCCAGTATCTTCCAGGTGGTCGGTGGGCATCTGGAGGAAAGGGGACCTTTGTGCCTTTGAAAGAGCAGGTGACTTTCTGCTAGGCCACAAAGCTTCCTGCTGTGGTTTCTGCACAAAGGTTTCTGCAGTGCTAACTAGGTGTGAGAGTGCCATGCTGCTTTCCCAAAGGCACAAGGTTGGAATCCACCAGCTGCTCCAAGGGAGAAGGCTGGGCAGTCTCCCTTGCGATTTACAGCCTCCCTGGAAGGTCAGCTGTGTGTAGTGTCCAACTAGATGGCACACAGCAACACTCGCAGGAGGTACAGAAACGGAGGCTTCCACTTAGCTTGGTTCCAATATAAGTAGAATGGTCATTTTTCTAGTTTTTGTTCAGTACTTGTCAGTTCCTTTGTAAGCTGTAACATTGCTGGGCCATGAACTTCTGAGAATTACATCAGCAAATAGATGTACCAAAAAACCCCAAACCAGATGGTTCTGTTTCCTTTGCTGTAGCTAGACGTGTTTTAAGTCAGGGACTGTCTAATTAGTGCCATTTATTTGTAGGAAACCGACCAGTCCAAACTGGGTGTCTTGGCATCTCAGTTCTGACTCCCCCGCAGGGAGTGTAAGATGATACAGCTGTAATTCATTGATCAGTTAGGAGGCCATTGATGGAGGTACATTTTCCAGAGTGAGTTTATTGGTTTCTGGGTGAGGAACATGCTGTGACTGATCAGAATTGTCAGCATTTAAGGAGAGAGATTGGAGCTGGTCATTAAACCGTGGCACAGGGGACTTAGAGGTTGTGTCCTCCATCTCCCGCCACCTCCTCATGCTGCCCTCAAGTCACCTACCTCGCCTCGCTCCACGGACTCATGCCTTCTCTGCTTTCAGCCCTTTCTCTTCTCTAAGGCAGAGGTGATAAGGTGCATGATTCTGAAGTTGCCCTCTGGCTGTTGGTTAACTTGTGACCCACCATCCTGTGCTGAAGAGGTCAGACTCCAGAATCTGTCTCCTGGGTTTGAACTCTGCCCTTGCCAAATGCTGGAGCCTGGACAGGTTATTCCAGTTCTCTCTGCCTTGATTCCCACACCTCCTGGTCTAAGTTCTGAGGATTAAAAACAAGGGAGGCAGTAAGGGCTCAGATGTGGTGAGGTTTCTCTCCTGCAGAGTGTCAGTTAAACTGATACAGCTGCTTCTTAGATGCGGGGCTAAGACTCAGGCAGGAGGCCTTTGTGACTCGTGGGCCTCCATCCAGTTCCCGAGGCTGGAAGTCTTTGAGAGGAGCCTGCCGGTCTTTCTCCCTGGGAAGCTGGAGGGTGTACACTGTGTCACAGGGTCCCTTCAGAAGGGTGGGCGATGGGAAAGGTGAGGAATAATGAACCAGTCCCATTAGTGTGCACGCTGTCATCACACATCCCAGAGCCCTCTAAGGGATCCTGGTGGCGCAGTACTTAAGCTGACTGCTAATGGAAGGGGTTGGCTGTTTGAAACCATCAGCCACTCTATCGGAGAAAACGGGGCAGCCAGCCGCTTGAAAAGCACAGCCGTGGAAGCCCTGTGCAGGAGTCCTGTTTAGAGAGTCTCTGAGTTGGAACCAACTAGGGGCTGGTTGGTAGGTGAGGCGTTCCCTCCCCCAGTGGCTGTTGCTTCCTTTGGACACAATTGAAGACCACTGCCCTTGCTTGCCTCCTCCGTTGGTCTTCACCAGGATTAAATAACTCACCCATCACTGCATCTTGAAAATGTTTTTCTGTTATTCTGCTGCCTGTTTTTTCTACCCTTGAACCACTCACCTCACTGTTGGCATGTCCATTCTGACTCAGTCCAACCCCTAGAGGACAGGAGAGCTGCCCCATAGGGTTTTCAAGGCTGTAAATCTTTATGGGAGCAGAATGCCACATCTTTCG